CTATTTCATCATAGTGATCATGATGTATTAATTTATTTGTTATTAATATAACCTATTATTAACCTAAAAAATAATTATATGTTTTTCATTATGCTGAGTTTAACAAGGTTGAAAACTTCCAAGTTACACGAATTATTCAAAGGAGTATATAAATGCAATCAAAATCATGAACGGTTCAAATCTTTTACGAAATGGTATAAAGAATATTGGGGCCCTAGGATAAACAATCCACCTTACAAACATGTAACACAAATAGGCGATCCTGTTCTTAGAAATGTAGCTAAAGAAGTTTCAAAAGATAAAATAAATAGTGATGAGGTTCAGCAAGTCATTGAAACTATGAAATATGTTATGAATAAATATAAAAGCATGGGTTTAGCAGCTCCACAAATTGGAGTTTCACTGAGAATATTCGCAATGAATTTTGACAAAGGATTGCTTGATTCATATGCACCAGAAATCATAAAAAGTAGAGATATGACGATAGTGCCCTTCCAAGTAATTAATGATTCAATCTAAATCAATTATAGTTAATTAATCTTGGTAAATTTTTAGGTTGTTATAAATCCTGAAATGAAGATAATAAACTATGACAAAGTATCTTATCAAGAGGCATGTGAATCAGTTCGTGGTTTTTGTGCAGATGTTCCTCGTTATAAAGAAATTGCTTTATCAGGTTTCGATCAAAATGGAAAACCAATTAATATGAAAGCCCATGGTTGGACAGCGAGGATAATACAACATGAAATAGATCATTTGAATGGAAAATTTTATACCGATATTATGCATTAAAACCTCTTTACAATGCAGCTGCTGGGAGGCTGTAAATAAGCACTCCGGTCGCATTGAAATAAGATTTATACCATGATGGAATGCTATTGAAGAAATATTAAATTCTATTTTGAGTTGATTTTAATATCTAGGTATTATTAATTTATTGATGTTTTGTACTAATGGAATACATTATTTGAATTTGAAATGAATAATGATTTATGATTGATTAATACAAGCCCATACAATCCCACCTTTATATTCACATTTTTGTTACAGTGTGAATATATGTGATGATCAGAATTTTTTAAATACTTAATTATTATTCAATAAATTAGATATTGAAAATGAGCTCCTCCTCTGCGAATTATATTCTTTACTTATGCTTTACATAAGTCAATTATATATATATATATATAATTACATTATACTGTGCCTTTCTAGTTTTCAGATACTATTTTGTATTGTAGTACAATTTTATAATTATTACCGTGTTAATGTTAATGTTATTTGTTACTATGATAAATGTTATAAAAATAAAATATTGAAATTGATAATTATTAATAGTTCTTTAAAATTATAACAAAATATAGATAATGTTTCAATCGAATTACTTCCTATCCAAAATAATTTATAATGAAAAGATGTAGCAAAAAATAAAAAGTTTAACTAAATGATTATACATAAAAAATATCAACATAGAAGTTATAAAACCGATTTTTTTAGTCAATAAAATTGCAAGAAATCAGTTAACGACTAACCCAGAATATGTAGTCACAAATAAAAAGTATATTATGAAAACTATTTATGTGAAATTTAGGAGTAATTAATATAGTATGATAAGCCGAGGAAACATAATTTTGAAGAATTATATTGCTCTTGACATTTGATATTTTTTCGATTTTAGACTAAAATTTTTGTCATTTAATGAATGCAGATAGTATTTAGTATGTTATATAATAATATGATATCATATGTATAAATACTTTAAATTTTTTATACCTTTTTAACTTCCCATAGGGTAAGTTATAGAATCGCAAAAAAAAAATCGAAAATGAAAATTTTTATATATCTTTACGTTTCAAAGGTTTCTGAATATTTTGGCATACCCTAGAAAAGATGTGTGTGTGTGAGTGTTTGTGTGTGTGTGTGTGTGTGCGGATACAAATTTTTGTCGACGATTTCGGGAACACCGATCAACCGATTTGAATAATTCAAAAAAACATTCGATTCGTATCGATAAGGAGACGTGCTGATTAGTTTTTGGCGAAGGCAGGTCGAACCATATATAAAAGAAGAGTATAACCGTAACGAAGATACGGGGCAAAAAGTACCAAAAACGGTAACTCAGTTTGTAACGGAGCGTCCAATTTTATTAGTTTAAAAAACATTTTACTTGTATTGACAAGATGAAGAACTGATTAAATTTTTGGGAAGGTTATGGGCTCTCAATAAAAATTAGTTAAAAAAATGTCATTTGGCGGTCTAAAATGTTTATTGGACATATGTACATCAAATTGTCAGATATTTTATAGAGATTTTGATAATGTGTACACATTTAGTGTAATTTTTTTTGGATTCCGTGCCAAGATTTACGTACGGGAAGTTCCAGCAATTTGCCTTAAGGCACGATGCCATGCAAGTAAGTTCTTTTTTTGAGAAAGGCGATTTTCATCAGTTCATATTGCTTTAATTAATCGCTTTCCCTCGAGGTGGGGACGTCATTCTTTTTGACACTAGCAAAAAGTTTGTATGTAAACTATGTCGTATTCCTAGTTTGTATTGATACAATTTTTAAACACATTGCTTATGTTATTAAAAGTCTGCCATGGGCTTCCAGTTTTTATATCTTATCTTAAAATGATAGCCAATCCGATAATGTAACACAACGTTATTTTCACATATCAAACTACAGGTTATATTTTTCCAACATGAATTAAATCCACAAAAATGCTTCTTAAATTTCCTACTATTCGACGAACATTCACCTGCAAGCTTTTGTTTGTATTTTTATTTATACTTGGATTTGTTATATATTTTAATGTACTAAATAACCGTCATAGGAAGGAAATTGCAAAATCAGAAGGATTTATATCTAAACATAAAATATTAAGTTCTGACATAAAATATGAGGAAGAGATTAGACAAGATGAAAGAAGAATGGTTCCAGGTTTGGGTGATAATGGAGAAGCCGTTATTTTATTGGACGAAGAAAAAATCTTAGGTGATGAGTCTCTTAAAAAGCATGCTTTAAACACTTATTTAAGCAGTAAAATTAGTTACAACAGAACAACACCTGATGTTCGAAGTCCTAAATGTAAATCCAAGATATTTGATGGTGTTCTTCCAACTGTGAGTGTAATAATTATATTTCACAATGAACCATATTCAGTATTAATGAGAACGATATGGAGTGTGTTGAATACATCACCTAGCAACATTTTAAAAGAAATAATTTTAGTGGATGATGCAAGCACTGATACAGAATTGCAAGGCAAACTTAGTTATTATATTAAGACAAGATTTTCTAAAAATTTACTCAAACTTATTCGATTAGAAAACAGATCAGGTCTTATCCGAGCAAGATTAGCTGGAGCAAGATTAGCCCGAGAAGAAGTTATTATATTTCTTGATGCCCATTGTGAAGCTGTCACTCAGTGGTTGGAACCTCTAGTTCATCGGATTCGAGAATCCCCAACAAGTGTGCTTGTGCCCATAATTGATGTAATAGCTTCTGATACTCTTAAATACAGCAATAATGGAGACTTTTTCCAAGTAGGAGGTTTTTCTTGGAATGGTCATTTCACATGGATTGACATTCCTGATAGAGAAGTAAGACGAATAAGAAAATTAGAGAATAGTAAAAAGAGCAAGTCTGATGATCGTCATGGAATTACATCCCCCACTTTTTCTCCAACTATGGCAGGTGGTCTTCTAGCGATTTCAAGAAAATATTTCTGGGAAATAGGTTCATATGATGAACAAATGGATGGTTGGGGTGGTGAGAACTTAGAAATGTCTTTTAGAATTTGGCAATGTGGGGGTACAATAGAGACTATCCCTTGTTCTAGGGTTGGACATATATTTAGAGATTTTCATCCTTATCAATTTCCAAATGACAAAGACACGCATGGAATAAATACAGCTCGACTTGCTTTGGTTTGGATGGATGAATATTCTGATTTGTATTTCTTACATAGACCAGATTTGCGGTATCATCCAGATATTGGGGATTTAACACATAGAAAAACTTTACGAAAAAAATTAAAATGTAAGTCATTTAAATGGTATTTGAAAAATGTCTATCCAGATTTATTTGTTCCAACAGAGCATTCGAAATATTATGGTATGCTGATGAACAATGCTATGCAGTTGTGCTTAGATAATTTACAACATAGTTCTGATAGCATATTTAAAATGGGTGTTTATACTTGTCATAATACTGTTAAACCTAGTCAGATGATTGCTCTAACACACAAAGGAATTTTAAGAACTTTTGAGAGCTGTGCTAATATCAAAAGCAGTGCTGATGATAATGAACATAAAGTCACAATGTCTCCCTGCATGAGTCGTGATAGAGATCAAAAATGGGAGTATACGAAAGACAAACAAATTCGAAATATAGCTTCAAATTTATGCCTTGATGCCGGACGATTAAAATCCCAAGACTTTGTATATGCAGCTAAATGTACCGATTCAAAAACCCAAAAATGGGTATTTGAATTGACAACTTTATAATTTTATTGGTGATAGATAATTTGATAATAAAGTTTTATAAAGAAATTTAAAGCATTCTTCTTGTAATTTGATTTTCAGATCGTTATTCATCTGTTTATGTTTAGTTATTAAATGCAAAATGAGTAGTTCATATTTCTTGCTGCCTACATCCAGTATAAATTTCGTTTTTCTATTCTCAATTGGCATCCTAAATTCTTCTATCGAATTGTATTCACATTACACTAATTTTTAGTATTATATATTAATACTATAGAATTATAGTATTAATATATATTACTTTTTTCAATGATGTGTAATATTTTTGGAGAACATAAAAACAGATTCGGATACATAAAATATTGTTTCCAACTAAAAAGCGCATAGATTAAATGTATTCGGATTATTAGTGAAACAAATGCCTTAAATAACAAATGATTTACTAAAATATTAGTTTTATATTACACTTTTTTTTTGATTTTATATACTTTAGACAATTTTGTTCAGATATCAAAATGGAGCGAGCATTTGAAAACGATAACGTTTTCAAAAACGTTGTGCAAGAAATATGTAGAGAATGCATCGCTAGAAATTTGGAGGTTGAAGAATCATTAGTCCAACAAGTAACAAAGTTATTCGCTTTGGATATCGATATGGGAATTTCATCCGAGGGCGTGGTAAAGAGAGACACATTGGAAGTATTTGTAAATCATGTGGTTAGTAAATTAGCTATTCCAGATGACGAATCTCCGCAAATGTCCACGTTAAAAATGCAATTGAATTGCAAAGAATTCTGCAATACCATAAGTGAGTCAATAAAAATGCATAATGAATCATTAAGTAATTACTTATATCCTTTAACACGCGAAATTATAAATGAGGCTTTAAACGTAACAAATAATAATAAAGAATCTCTTGAACAATTTCGAAGAAAATTAGCCGTTCATATTTTGCTTGAATCGCAAATGGGTCATCCATCCCGCATGGATGTCTTTAATGAAGGATTAACAGCCTTGAGCAGCATAGCAAGCTTGGCTGATATTGCTTCTTTCCTAGAATCAGACGAAACTCAAAAAATTCGTTATATACATGAATTGACCCACTTGGTGTCAGGAATACGGTTATTGAACAAGGAATTTGGCAGAAGTTCTGGTTCGGGAATCCTCGATGTGCCTTCTGAGCTGGATTCAGCGTTCGCAAAATCTAAGACATTACTCAATAATTCATTAGGTGAACTTCAAGATATATTGGACTCGCATACAACGGCTATTCTTTACTCTACTGAAATAGATGATAGAAGACTATTAGTAAATTTTAGAGTGCAACCTAATTTATCTCTAACAGATATCGAAAACACGCGTGATCGTCTTATATTGCAAAGGCAGTATGAAATATTTCTGAAAAGATTAAAATTGCGCCTTGAACAAGTAGGTGAAAACATACAAAATAGCTTGCTTAAATATAAACAAAATTTGTTGACTGCAATACAAGTCGTGGATAAGAAAAATGCTTTAATCATTTCTACCGTATATCCTTTGTTTTACAATATAGCGTCCTCGTGGTTTGATCTTCAAAATCAATTATTTATAATTATGGAAACTAATGAAATATGTTTAAAATTAAAATCAGTTTCCAACCTGATGGTTGCCAAAGTTCCAATAATGCATGCAATGCTAGGTGACAAACCTATTTATACACGAAATGAGTGGTTGCAGAAAATGCCAAAAGAAAATATAGATTTAACAGATTTCAAATGTATATTATTAAACTACGATGAAGTGTCCCAAAAAGAAGATTTTTATTTAAAATTTAATGGATTTTGTATTTGGTATCTGGTTCATTGTCGGGGTGTTTTGATTCCTGCAAACCCGGAACTGGGTGTGCTGGAACATCGTTCAGAATACTACGCTTTTAGTACCCGGCAAGCAATTCGAAGCATTTGGTAGGACTCCCGACAGGTATTTGTACAGCGCCTTAGAAGTAATACGTGGTAAGCCAGAATTGGTTGGTTTATTCGAAATACAAGAGCTTATATTGAACATGAGTGACCATGCACTGAGATTATGTCAAGAACTAGCTCCAAAACCAGATCACAAAGAACTAAGAGACGTAGAAATACAAACTGTGACTCATCTATACGAAACGAGGATAGTTAAAAAATACAAATGGAATGTATGGGATATGCGTCGGGAGGCGATACAGCTGGCCAATTTAAGCCGAGGAAAATCGAAATCTATGCAAACGTTGAGAACATATTCGAAAGTAGGCGTAGCACTGCAAACGACTTTCTTAAAGAATACTTCCATGCAGACAACAAGAGAAAACTACACCAATACACCGACGCCTCTCAATTATAAATCTGGTTTGAGGGCCAAACGAGACCAATTGAATCTAATGGTAGATTGCACGAGACCAGTACATGAGGACTACTACACGTGCACCAAGTACAACACGATTTTATTTGATACTCCATTTCCAGAAGATAAAGAACCTGAGTGTACAAATGATGATGGTAATAAATTTTGCCTCAAAGTATGTCACGGGAAAAATAATCGTTTAACAAATAGAAGAAAATCAACCAATTAAGATAATTGATTGACTCAAAACCTAATATCTTGATTTATATTTAAAATTAATGCAAAAATTGTTTTTATAATATGAATTTAATCATAAATTTAATCATAAATGTATGTTTTATGCTTAAAAATAAACTTAAATCGTCGTTATGCGGTCTAATATCACATAAATACGGATTTTTGCTTACAAAAAGTAAATATGTCTCCAAAATACAAAATTACTTTATTGATGGAACTCAAAAATCTATACATATGTGTAATACTCACAATTTTAACTACTAATATAAAATTTGATAAATATTTTGTACTGATTTAATTTAAAAATTTGCTTATGGCTTTTATATCGTAATAAATTTAAGCGCAAAGTGTTTATATTTTCGTGCATTACTTTTATCATTCGAATATTATAAACATAATATCAATTTAGTAATCAATAATAATTTTACATATTATTGTCTTTATATAACTTCTGTGACACTATATATTTATATAAATTATAACAGTTATTCTTAAATAATCAGGTAAAAGAAATTTCTAACAAGCGACTATAAAATTAACTTAAGTACTTATATATTTACCTATATAATAAATAAAAATATCACATTATTTTCTATTTGGGAACATTCGTTCAATTCTAGCTTTTCGGCCGTTCGGCAACTTTGGAATTGCGTCCGGTCTCTTTGTAGTCTTTGCACGCTGTTCTATTGCCATTCTGCGATAAAATCAATTAAAATATGAAATTATTTAAAAACAATGATTCAACAAAACTATGTTCATTCTATTCCGTGTTTTTGGTAAGTGTAATTTTAAAATTATGCAAGGATATTCGTAAGAAATCATTGTTCAGCTTGTTTTGTATTATTTTTTACTTTAGAATAGTAATAGAATTTCTCTAATAAGTATATGTATTTTATCTAATTAAATCTTATTTCATATATCATTATTATTTATGATCAGTACTCAAGATAAAAATAATGATGAATATAAAATACTTTTACGCGCTAGAAATACATTGATCATAAAATTTCAGAGGATTTTGAGATTGAGTATGGCGATAAATATTTGGAAAAATATATATCACAATGTAATGAAATTGCTCAAAAATCTTGAAATCTGTAGCTTAACTTACTTTAATTTTAATCGTTTCTGCTGTTCTTTTTTCCAAATTTGCTCAAAATCTTTACAAAATGGAATCCACAGTGAAAAAAATTCGTTGGTGGGACAGCTTTCCAGCGGCCCCGTCTTTGGTTTGAAGGAAAAAAAGCACATTGTTTTTATAAATTTATTTTTTATGTCTTGCATGGAAGTTCTTTCGTTGTTTATAGTTTCATTCGCGTTTTGAATAAAGCTTTCCATTTTATCTTTAAATGGTTGTATATTTTCCGGCGATGAATTGTCTAATACTTTCTGTGTTCTCTTGGTACAAGCTGCGAATAAAAACTATGGCAGTTGATGATTTTAATTAAAAAAAATATTATTATGATGACGATCTTTACTCACCATCTAATTTAACTTTAAGTTGATCTATAACTTTAGCTAAGTTTTCAAAATCTACTTCAGCTGCCCTGCTTACGTCCCATGTATTTGGAATTGGCAGGGCCACATTCCACGCCTCTTCTTTGGATTCGTCCATATATGTTTCCACAATAAAATGTAACAACGTTATCTACATTAATTCATAATTAATGAAGCAATAATCTAATAAGGTTCAAATGTGTGATATTACAAAAATAACTTACTTGATTGTCTTTTGATTTTACATCCTTAAGTTTGGCCAAAATTTCCAATCCGAATCCATCAGCTTGCCCCCTCGTTCTATTACCGCCATTCATAACATTCCCTAATTTTAATATTATGCCAAATACTTGTTTCAATTCCTTTCCATTAAGCATTATCTAAAATTGAATATAATTTAATTTTCAAGTTCATTATAATATAATGACTAAATTATAAATTACCTCGCATAAACTTTTTAAATTGGAGAGCGTATTGGATAATGTTGCAACACTATCTTCGAACTCGACTTGAAACATAAAACATGAAATTCTTTCCGCAAAACATTGGATTTCTGATAAATCATACAGAAATTGTTCAGGTTTATCTAAAGGTTCTTCTTTATTATTTGAAACATGCTCTTTAATCATAGACAATTCCTCAGGAGTAGCTCTCTGCAATAAAACAAATAGAGAAATAATTTTATTATTCATTCATATTACAAATCTTTTATTGCTTCGTAAGTTACTTACCGCTTCGTAAATTTGCTGCAGAGCTTCCAAATTAACTACAGATGTATCAAAATTATAAACTGCGTTTTCAATTTCAGCAAAATCGACATGCAAACTATGTGCCAATATACCAACATTTTGAGACCTTTTGCTATCCAAAATCTTGACGGCAACATTTTTCTTTGGTTTTTCAACTTTTTTAACTGGCGCTTTCTTAGTCACAACTTGTCGCGAAAATAAATTCATAAATTTTTGCAAATTACTAATGTTTGCCTCCTCCAAATCCTTTAATAATAAAATTTTATGAGAAAAAGTGAATACGTTTGCAAATATGCAAAAATTTTAAATTTTTATCATTTTGATTTGCTCAAGACATAAAATTTTTTGGCGAGCTTTCCGCCAATATACTGATGAATATTAAAATAAATATGCCATCATAAATGGTAACACTATTAAAACTAGTTTTAAATCGGCCTTTACAATTTAAATAGTATTTTTCTTTTCTTGAAATTTTCAAAATTTTTATTTTTCATATATATTTTATATTTACTAATTAAATACATTCATATTTTACCTGCCATAAATCTTCCTTTTTAATCTCTGTGGCTGCGACCGGAGCAGGTTTCGAAGTTATAATTCTTGTCCAATACAGCGGTTTCATTGGAACCGGAGGATTAATTGGAGGTTTTCTTAAGCCTGTTCCATTGATAATTAGTTAAATCATTGACTTTAAATAATTTGAATAAACTTTCTAGCAAATTCTTTTAATATACTTGAATATGTGCAAACATGCGAGTATAGAGTAAGAAGCAGATATTGCTTGGAGCCATTACGGTAGTCATAATTTCAACAAAAACCAACTCTAAGAATTTTATTATATTCGTAATAAACCATCATGCATTATTTGTCAAATAAATACTTACAATAGTTATTATTAGGCCATCATAATTCATATGGTAGGATGTGTCATAAAAATGTAACAGAAATAAATAAATACAAGTGAAATATAATAGTAAATAATTTGTAAAGAATAAACTAAAATTACATCTTCTAAATATAAGCAAAACTTACAAAACTGTGGAATGAAATGCTCATGATATTTACACATATGCTTACGTAAGTCATAAATAATATCAAAATAAATTTGAATATGTTCAATATGTATATCTTTCGATATAAAAAATAACCCGAACTCAAATTAAACATAATAGAACAGAAGGAAATAAAAGCAACTGTCACCTAAATTAAAATTAGCGTGTCCCATTGTATGTTGTGCATATTGATAACTCTGGGACTCACTTGCCCTCTGCGCATCGTTCCAACCGCCTGGAGGCGGTGTCGGAAATGGCATCGGTGCCTGCGGCGGAGGTGGTGGACCGACACCAGCCATCGGAGGTGGCGGAGGACCTCCCATAGGAGGTGGCGGCGGAGGCAGTCCCATTCCCGACATTGGTGGCGGCGGAGGTCCCATGCCAGGCATTGGCGGCGGCGGAGGTCCCATACCAGGCATCGGCGGCGGCGGAGGTCCCATACCAGGCATCGGCGGAGGTGGAGGGCCCATACCGGCATCGGCGGAGGCGGAGGGCCCATACCGGGCATCGGCGGAGGCGGAGGACCCATACCGGGCATCGGCGGAGGCGGAGGACCCATACCGGGCATCGGCGGAGGCGGAGGACCCATACCGGGCATAGGAGGCGGCGGGGGACCCATACCAGGCATTGGCGGCGGCGGAGGACCCATACCAGGCATTGGCGGTGGTAGAGGACCCATACCAGGCATTGGCGGAGGCGGTGGAGGTCCCATTCCAAGCATCGGCGGGGGTGGAGGTGGTGGTCCCACTCCAGAAGTCACAATTTCTGGCATCGGAGGCGCTGGGGGCGTAATTTCTGGCATGGCGCGGTGGAGGTGGGAGGTATAGGTGTTGAAGGTCCTATTGCATCCGCGGATGATGACGGGCCGATTGGAGGTCTTGATTCTGTTCCATTCATAGGAAATTGTTGAACTTTTATAGGCACAACAGGAGACAAAGTTGCATTTTCTGAAATTATTACAATTTAGCCATTTTAATTATTCAGTTATACATAATATGAATAAATTAAATGATAAATCAAAATGTTAGAACAAGAATTTCATGAATTGAGAATTCCCTAATCAGAAGTATGGTGCTTGAGATGTTATTAGCATAATATACTAATTAATAAAATGGCATACACCAAAATTTTGAGCGTTAAGTGTTGAAGAGTTAAAAAATTAGCAACACTTCATTAGCAGACGTGCTAATGGCGATAATCAACAGCTAATTATAAACGTCCATGAAGTACGTGGGTGATAAACATCTATATAATAATATGACATTATTAGCCAAATGAAAAACTTACAAATTTAGATTTTTTATATTTAAATTGTAAATATGAAATATTTTTACCTTCAGCCTATTTGCAGTTCCTGTCTTTTTTGAAACATTTTCAGAATCTTGTATTCTTATTTGATCAGTCTTCTCATTTGAGGATGTTTTTTATTTGTGATTTTGGAGGAGTTTTCCGAGGTGTTCACTTTGGGTGAATTTATTGAAGTTTCAGTCATCTTTTTGCGATCACTTGTTTTATTATCAATATTTTCTGCAGGTGGTGTTACATGAAAGGTTTTTGTAACAACTTTTAAGTCACATAAATTAGTGCTGTTTGTGCGCCTTGATATTTTCACAGGCGATGTTATGGAATCTTCACCAGCGCTACCAAGCTGCAGACTAGAGTCAGCCACAGTTTTTATAGGCGGTGGAGTCTTATAAGCATTTGCTGACGTGAGATCGTTGATACTTATAAAAGTCCTGGATTCTTGTAATTCTTTTCTGAGTTGAGAAACTGTTTCTTCTAATTCACTTATGCGAGAATCTTTCTCGAAAATCTTTTTCGACCAACTATCATCTGGGCTTTTTGGTTCTTTAGGAGTGCTGACAGATGATCGAGGTAGGCGGCTTCCAAAATTTTTAGGTGTAGCTATTAATGAATCTTGGGTGTTGTTAGCAGTCACATAAAGTTCGGTATCATTCTTTGTAGATGTAAGATCTGGATTCTTTTGGGGTCTTGTCTTTCAAGCGCCCTGGCGTGGTTGACGCAGCTGGTTTCTGCTTGGATTCTGAATGGTTCCAGTAGTACATCAGATCTGGCTGTAGGGCAGTATGATATGGTGGCTCTTTTTATAAGAAATTTAATTGACCAAAATTTATACATTTATATTTATTACTGACGAAAAATGCTATTTCATATATAGCAGTTTATATAATTGTCCTCAAAGCTTAGAAACAAAGTATGACAGAAATGATTTACATTAGAAATTGATGAAATCCATGGAGGACATTGAAGATTGAATTAAATAAATTAATATCAAACCATGCAAGGAAAATAAAAATAATAATGTTATTGATTAAATTATTGATTGAATAAATAAAGAAAAACTATAGTCTAGCAAATAATATTCTTTACATTTACGAATAACTTAGATACAGATCTGTAGTAATTTTTTGGTAAACAAATAAATTAAGCTTGTGGTATTTCAGTCTTCAATTTTGCTTTAATTTTATTTAATCGAAATCACAATATTGTTATGTGAACAAACAAATAATATTGCAAGATTTTTCTAACACAGAGCCAAAAAACAATTAATGCCTGATATCTCTATTTTTATTGATAAAAATAAACTCACTCGGAACTGTGCGTCCAGAGGTTCTTGTGGTCCTGCAATTTGCTTCAGTACGCCGGCCGCGAGTAGACAATTGCAGCATCCGACCATTATTTGTCTCAGATCCTGAACCAACTTGGCTGATTCGGCCTGATTGTGTTTTCCATTCTGATAACTTTTCGTCGGGCTGACCAGATGACCTTTTTGGTTGCGGGAATTTGCGACGACCTGCTGCGTTTGGTCCGCGGTCGCGTTCGACACTAACCAATTGACGAGCATCTGACCTGCAATAGGACGTTGATATGGATTATGCATGTATATTACGAGAAGGCGATAATAAACAAAGGTTTTCAAGCGGTGGCGATGAAGGATACACGGAAATAAATATAATATAAACCGAGATTGAAAGCTCGATATACAAACATTTTTTAATGAGAGTACGACAGATATAAGAGTCGATTGCTACACACATTACCCTGAAAATTTTGAAAATTTTGAAATATATTGAGAAAGGTCAGAGATTTATCGTTATCTTTACTTAACTTTTTATGGTTTATTAGATATAAGTTTTCAAAAAGCTTTTCCGAAATTTTAATGGTTTGCTAAAGGTGTTTTTGATTCTGTATTTATACATTATTTTCAATTAAGAGCAACATAAATTCACATTCCTTAATAAATTTTACATTTCTGCTAAAGCAGATTGAAAATAGGTGAAATTTTTACAATCTTGATTGATGAAAAATCATAATGTATCATAGTAGTTGCTAAAATACAAATTGCAATTCATTTATAATTGGAGATTCACTGGTATTTTTTAACATGTTTCTCGAGGGAATTATATCTATTTGAATGGGATGCCTGCTATGTTTCTCCAATCGTTTTACAGACGTATATATGATCATTATAGAAAAAAAATG